CAGCCGCGCTTTCTTCTCCCCTCCTAGCTCGCTATCCATTAGTATAATCCTCTGTCCAAACACTGCGGCTGGAACGGCCAGACGTTTGGTGTAAACAGACTCAGGGGAACAATTCTAACGATATAAATAAAATAACCATTAATAGCGCAAATTGTTTGATGAACCGGAGGCCGAGCACCCGGGACTCCAGCCTCCCTGGGATTTGTGTATACAGCGTGGACGCCACGCATCCGTCAGGTGAATCTGAGATTCTTGTCCCGTCGAAATCTAAACCCAGCGCAGGTGAGGTCCCCTCAAGCGCGTCAACGGGGACCCGGCTCCTAACACGCACAGGCCTCGACACGCAGGCGGCTCAGGACAGACGCACACAGTGAGGTCTCGGCGCGGCCGCAGCTCGCATTAACGTAACTGCCTGGGCCCGCCCCAAACAGAGGAACTGGGGTGAGCCCGGCTCTTCAAAAACTCTCCCTCCCCTGTGGCCAGACGCAGCCTTAAAGGACGCCACCTGGTCACATCCACAGCCTCCGTGCGCGCGGGGACACAGAGCTCACACCCCAAACGGAAAAAGTCAGCCCCACTTCTCCCGGGCTTCGTAATAATAAACTAACATTTATTTGGGCGTTTCTTGTGCCAGGCACCACGCTAAGTGCTTCGCAGAGGTAATTTCCTTGAACCCTCAGGCGACCTAAGAGCTAGATGCTTCTAATATTCCCAGCTCCACAAATCAAAAAAGCAGAAACCTCAGAGAGGTGACGGAATTTTCCCGGAGACTCATGGAGACAGAATTTGAATCCACAACTCTGCTCCAGGAAGGGCAGTGCCTACCCGAGATACAGCCACTTGCGCAGATTCCAGGGTGCCTGGCTGCCGAGGTCTGAAGCCTAGCTCCAGCGCATCCTCAGCCCCGCCGGGCTGCAGGGGGTTGCTTTCCAGTGGGAAGTTCCTACTTACTCCCAAGAGCCTGGGCAGAGTGGTCTGAGGGGTCGGGATAGAGGCAGGAGGGGAGCCTCCTCGGAAAGCCCTGTGACCTATTGCCAGGGACCCAGCAGTGGGCTCCCAGCGGGCCCTGCTCTGGCGTCGGGGTTGCAGAGGCCGCCCAGGAGAAGGCAAGCAAGGCCTCGGAGACAGTAGGTCAGCCCTGCGGGGGTCGCGGGGTGGGGGGCACTTGGATAAACGCCTCCTTGGGGTCGGATAGCCGGGAGTCATGGTTCCCCGAGTCTGACTGGGGCGGGACGTTGCCACCCAGGCATGGAGCGGAGGCGTCCTGCATCCACTCCTTACTTGCTTCGTGACCTTGGATATATAATTTTATTCTGGGGCCTCAAAATCTACCATGGGGCAGGGGGCGATGATACTTGTCTCCTAGGGATGTAGCGATCAGAAGAGGGCTTTGTGTGGAACGCTTTGTTCACCAGTGGAACATTTATTATCATGATCAGTGTTAACTTGACAGTAGGCACCTCAGAAGGCGGGGACGAGGGCTGGCAGCCCCAGACAGAATAGAAAGGGAAGGACCGAGGCGGGAAGAAAGGAAACCGCTCTTGGGGGCGGAGGTAGGGGTACACGTAGGAGGGAAGGGGACGGGGCTAGAGGTGGCTCCGCCCCACCGTCCGGTAGTGTTTATTTTCAAGGCAGCTTCCAGTCAATCCTGTCACCGGGGCACATTCTTTTCGGGGGCTGTGAACCACTGTCTGGGCTCCGCGGGAAGATTTGAGGAGGGGGAGGGCTGTCGAGTAGGGAGGAGGAATTCGCAGAGTAGAGAAAACTGCGTCTGGACAGGCAGTCCCTACGTCGCGCAGGGGAAGCAGAAGCGGGAAGAGAGGAAGCTGAGTGTTCAAGGCAAGGAATTTTAACAAACTTGGGCAAGTCAAACCTTCTGAGCCTCGGTTTCCTCCTCTGAAATGGTTATATTAATAGGGCCAAAGACAAGAGCTGTTGCAAGAAGTAGAAGCAGTAACAATGGTGGACACTTAGCAAGAGTTTACAGCAGCCTGGCGATGTTCTGGGATCTTCATACCCAATGAGACAGGGAACTCTTCTAGCCCAGTAGAAGTCTCTTGACCATGGTCTGCCAGCTTACGTGGGGGCTGGGTGGGGAGGGGAGGCTCTTAACCTCTCAGCCCATTGGTGGTTGTAGAACACCCCTGAACAGTAGCTTGTACTATCCATGTGGTTGTTGTTGGTGGATTGTTAATGTTATTGTTCTCAGCTATATTATTTCTATTGTTATAGCCGCTCACTACCAACCCTAAAAGGTAGTCATCATTAACTCCTTTATGGAAAGGAAACAGGCTCAGAGAGGGTAAGTGACTTGCCTAAAGTCACACAGCAGATGTGGGGCCAAGCAGAGAGATAAGAAACCAAGCAAATCCAGAGGCTCACCCATCGCAGAGGGAAAAGGAAAGAGGGCACAGCCTGGTGTAGGGCGAGGACTGGGTGAGAGAAGGACACCCACTGTAAGGGCAGGTCCCCAGCAGTTGATTTATTTGCTTTCCAGCAGGGATGCTAATTGGGCAGATCTTTATCTCAACACGATAACAATGACAGGAGACCAGGGATTTGTTTACAGCAGCTAAAAATGATGCATTTGTGGGAGTGGGAAGCTGGATTGGACTGCGGGTTTTGTTTGCAGCTTCTTTGGCTTCAGATGGTGGAGGGTGGCTATTGGGGAGTGGGGAGGCTGAAAGGAGGCTGCTGGTCATTCTGAGAGTATTTCCTAAAACTAATGATTAAGAGGATTAGTCTCCTTATTTGAGGACCTCAAAAAAGCACAAAATTTGATGGACAATTAATGCTTTTCTAAGTGGGAAAAAAAGAGTACCTGGGAATCCCACTCTCTGATCTCTGCTCAGCTAGAGGAGAAGCTTGGCACCTCTGTGCCTAACAATCGCCTCTCACCACGCACACCCCCAGCGCCACCACAAGAACTGTTTCTCCTCGCATAGGTGTGGAATGCTCTGTAAGCGATTTTCTTCCATCATTTCCTTAATCCTTACACCAGGCCTATAAAGTCCACAACGTTATTAACTTCTTTTGTAAGTGAGAAAACTGCCATTTAACAAGGTTGAAGGACTGGCTCAATGTCACAAGACTACAAAAACAGCAGGACTCTACACCTAGATCTGGGGACTACAGGGCCAGTGCTCCAGCCCAAGACAGAGGCACGAGGTATGATTATGACTTAAAGAAAACACCATCTCCCTGAGCCCCATACAGCAAACTCAACCTCCTCATCTATGGGCTGTCCTTGCAGAGGAGGGTGTCACTGGGGCAACCCTTGTACATGAATGGTCAGGAGGTCTGTCTACAGCCACTCATGTACATGCTTACTGACTTACCGGTTGTGTGAGGTATAAGATATTCACGTCTGCTCACTCATGTGGGGGCACAATACATACACTTATATACACAACGGCCACCTTCTCTACTACACTAATGTGAAAAGCATGACACATGGAGTTTTTAAAAGTCTAAATTACAGAATATTTCAATGTAGTTTTATTACTTTCAAAAACACACACGGTCATTACAACTCTGGTAATAAAATCTATTCCCTCTTCTCTGACTACAGCTTAGACAGGCCTTCATGAAACCACTTTGTACAAGGCTAACTGTAATGATCCCATAAATTGTCTTACAGAAATAGTGCATCTGATAGTTATAGAAGTTAATTTTCATCTTGGATCATATAAACATTTATCTCCAAATCTCGTGTCACTACCAATAATTCACATTATTGTGGGGGGGAAAAAGGAGGGAGGGAATTTAGAATGAGTGTTGGTCAGCCCTGCTGTAATGGCCACATGATCTGAAAGATCAGAGCCCTAATGTGGAGTTTACATTTATGGGGAGTCCTGAGTGCTTTCTTTCCCATGCCCATCCACATGTGCATTCACTCATGTGTTCACACAGGGAAGCACTTTCCTCCTCACTCAAAGAGAAAGACAAGTCTATAGAAACATCTATGTCATGTCTCCATCTACCTACTGGAAACCTATATTTCTCAGGAGATGAAACTGCCACCAATCTCAAAAATATGGTTGCAGCTGGAAGGTAAAGGGTAGAGGGTGGCTGGCTGCCTGCCATGCATCTGGGGAGCCCAGCTCCCAGAGGAGAAGGCATGAGATTTAGTCTCCTCTCAAGAGGCCAGTGACTCAGTGCCCCCCCCAACTGGCCCCAGTTAGGGAGAAGGGAGGAGATTATTGGTGAACCCAGAGCAGCTGGAGTGCTCAGTCCTTGGTTGGTGTGAGAAGCGCGGACCCCACTCTCTTCTAGATTTGACCCTTGCATTTTAAGGCAATCTCTGAAACACCTTCCAGTTGGGTTGATCTCAAGGTGATACAATCCCTAGTCTAAAGTGGGGTTGTTGGGAAAGAAGGGAAGGTCAGTTTGCTCTCACCTGTGTGGTGTAGTGATGGTGGGGCATTCCTGGTCTGGGAGGCCCCATCTGCTCTCAGGGGATGCCTGGAGCCCAGGCCTCACAGTCACCTCCAGCTCTGCTCCAGTTCTCTTCAGACTGCCACAATAGCAGGAAACGGAGGCTCCTCGTGATCTGCTTGGAGTGGGGATTTCCACGGGGAGGGCGGCCAAGCCTGCCACCTGGAGCCCCACAGGCCAGCTAGGGCACACTCCTGAGGCTATGAGGGAGTGACGGCCTGGGAGATGGGAGAGGTCTTACCAGTTGGAGCAGGGGACAGAGTAGCTTCCCTTTCACCAGCCCCGGGGGTGCATGGGCATTTTCCTGAGCAGCCCCTGAGAGTCAGAAATACAGGGGTGGGATGGGAGAAAGAGTGTGGGGCTCAGGAGTGGGGTCTTGTTCAGTTAGTCTCACCCCACCTCTTGCAGCCCTCCTGTGCTGCCCTGATTTCCTTCACATCAAACATCTGCAGGAGTCACGATCAAAAAACTGAGAGCATCAGGGTGGAGGGTTTAAGAAGGGAGGGAAAGGGGGAATGAAACAAGATGAGGGAAGAGTGAGAAAATGGGTAGGAGGGAAATGGGTGGGGAGGAGTGGAGACAGTGAGAAAGGAAGCTGAGGAGATGGGGGAGGAGGTGACCAAGAAAGGAAGTGGGGGGAGGGTAAAGGGGAAAATGGGTGGCAGAGTAAAATGGGATTGTGAAAGAGGAAGGGGCCACGAGGGGAAAAAGACTGGCAGGAGGGAGAGGAGGAGGACTGTAGGGGAGGACCACGAGCCGTTCTAGGGTCCCCGACTCAGAGGCTTTGCGCGGTCTCTGGATACGGCTAGCATCAAGAGGTAAGAAGGTCCTTGCCCCCGGTTGGCAGGAGCGCAGGGAGGCGGAGGGAAGTTGGAGAACCTAGAGGCATGTTCTAGGATCAAGGACCAGCTTGTGCAGGCCAACAGAGTCTCCCTAGCCCTCTTCGCTAGGGCCCCGGGCCCTTGGCGGGAGAATGGAGAGATGCCCAGGAAAAAGACCAGCACTGCCAGGCCCTAAGTGCACGGGCTTGGAGACGCAGCGCCAGAGGCGGGCAGGGCACAATAAGGGCTGAAGCCCTTACAGTCCTGCAACCTGGAGCCACCAAACCAGGGACCTCCGACCTGACACCCAGGCGAGGCTGCGAGGTCCAGAGCCTGGACCTGGCTCCTAGGGCGTGCCACTCCTGACCCCTGTGGCGTGCGTCCTGACGCACCGCGCCGGCTTGGTACCTCGGCCCTCGCTACGGTTCCCTGGCTGATTCTGAGCAAGGCCAGCAGCCTACGGCCCCAGCAAACCCCCACATAACCGTAGGGTCAGGCAAGCCGAGCCGGGACTCCGCCTGGGCAGTGCTGATGGCTGGGGGTCCCTGCAACTTCAGGACCAAGGGCAATAAGGGGTTAGGCCCGCAGACCCGGCCATCCGCTGACGCAGGGAAGGTCTCGATGAACCTTGGGGATCGCTCCCCGAATGCCGACCAAAGACCCAGACCTCCAGGCTGGACGCGGTGAGGGCCGGATGAGACGTTACTTAAACATGTTACTTAGAAAAGACTGCAGTAAACATTTCTTTCCAAGTGAGAAAGGTCTTTTTTGTTCCCAGACGGTTTGAAGGTATTTGTGCCAACATGACCCCCAGGAAATTTGGAGGAAGCTTTCTACGTCCTTGGAGGCCGAAATCCTGAGCGGGTGTTCGGTTGAAAGCAGACAGTTTCGAGTAGATAGCGCTGGAAGAGACACAAAGAATCTCTCTTGCTTCTTGAACACGAAACCACGTTTCTCTCTTTCTTTCCCCTCTACTTACTGCTCAGCAATCCGCACTGAGTGAGCAGGAGCTCTGGTTCAAATGAGTTAATTTGCCTAAGACTGCAGTCACTCTTCTGAAGTCAAATTACATTTTAAAAGGGTTATACACATTGAAATTTCGCTACAGAAAGCTAAACGCACGCTAGCAACAATAAAAAAAAGTTAAGGAATGCATTCAGAATTCCAATTTAATCCTCAAGTTAAAACTGCTCATTGCACGCCCAAATAGCACATGCAAATAGTACAAATAAATGTCTGTATACAGGCGTCCTTTTATTTTTCCTGTGTTTTTATTTGAAAAAATTTTGAATTGATTTCATCCAACAAAGATACAGTGTTTTCGACATTACTGTTTTATTGACATTATTGGTTTTGTTAAAGAAAGTGTAATTTACATTTTTATCTTTAAAATTTTTGGAGGGGGCAGATCCACAAAGACAGCTGTAAAATTATCTCCCTGAGAAATCAAAAGTCACATTCTCAGCAAGGGCCTGTAATTTACAAAGAACTACACAAAATACTGATTTTGGACAAATTTTGTCCCAGGAAAGAGAAGTACTAATTAAAAAAACTCAATTCCAAATAAAATCTAGGAAAATGTGGCATTCCTACAAACACATACAAAACAAAGTAAATACTTAAAACAGCATTTCAAAATCTCTGTTATGAAATTCCTTCAACAAGAAAAAAACTCTCAAGAAATTAGACCAGTTTAATGCCTTCTAGGACTCGCCAACCCAGTTGACATTTCTTTAAAAGCCCAAAGTGTATTCACCCGTCTCGCAATTAAAATGCTATTGCTTCTGAATTGCTTTAAAAAAAAAAATTGGATAGCTTTCTAACATTCCTTAACTAAAAACCAAAGCAAGGCACACACGCGCGAGTGCACAAACACACACACACACACACACACCCAACAACCACTACCACCACTACCACCAACAAATTAACAAAAACCCATTTCGTGGCTCTCTGCTTCTCTCTTTTTCTCTCTCAAAAGTTGTCATTGAAAATGAAACTCCTAGGAAAGCAATTAAAAAATGATGAAAAGATTCACCTGAAACGTTTTGGCTATCTGAGTTCATCATTACAAAGATAATTTTTCATGCTTTAATAGAAAAATCACTTCTGATTGTAGTGTTACATTGTTACATTTTTATTAGAAACCACGATAACTTTCAACTTGTTTGTGGCATTAAATGACTATTTGAATAGTTGAGAGACAACGGGATAAGCCGTGGCATTTATAACTAAAATTATCCATTATCTGCCTATATTTATAGGTACATTAATTAAGCAATGTCTGTGCAGACAATAACAGTTATGAGAACACTTTATAGCTTTCAAAAAATTGTCACATTTTTCATTTGATAATGCATTTATTGTAATGGCTAGCATGTGGTTTTTCTTAAAAAAAAAAAAAAAAAAAAGATACAAACGTTTATGCATCTATACAGCACTTCCCCTTCACGGAATTTGCCACCATTTACTGATGATCTTTAATCATAGGGTGGGAGAGAGAGCTTGTGTAAACGTATGAGGTGATGAAAGAGTAGGAAGGTAGATACACTCGATTAAAATAAAATCAAACACTTCCATGGATGCAACCACACTTACTTTACCTGATAGTAATTAGCTAAACTGCCTGGAACGAAAACCTATTATTAGTAGAGCACAGCTCGAGGATTTCAAAGATCTCCTTTTCAAACAAGAGAATGCAAATGCCCCAGAAGGCGATCGTAACTGGATAGGCGTTGGAACCAGATCCCACCCTCTGATAAGTGACTCCTGCGGAGCGACTGCTGCTGTACTACTACCGCTCTCGAGTTCTCCTCCTTTCAGGCCCGCGGCCGTCGCGAGTACCAGCTTCCTGCGAGCGAAAAGGAGGCCACCTAGATGGGGATTGGCTTTGGGGGAATTCCTGTGGGGAAGCTCGGCCACTGGGGAACCAGAGCAACTAACGGAAGCCTGAACAACACTGAGAGGGCAGTCCGAGACAACCCAAAACCCTGCTCTGGGCATAAAACTCAGATCAACCTTAGGGATGCGGTAGCGGATAGAGGTTTTCCGCACGCTGGATCAGCCCTGCGCTGGGCTGGAAATGGGGAAAGGAAGGGGCGATAAGGCCTAGATGCCACCCGCTAGACCCCTTTTCCTGGGTTCCCCACGCTGGGAGTCCTCACAGGCCCTGGTGGCCTACCTGCCCAGGGTCCTCAAGAGACAACCGCTTAGGCCTGGTGTAAGGTACCTAGCCCGGGGCTGCCGAGGTGGAATTTTGGGTAGAGAGGCTTGCGTGGGCCTGCTAGTGGGAAGGAGACGGCCCTCTGCGTGAGCTGATAGAGGGGCCCTGGCAGGCTCCGGCGGGTGCAGCGCGCCTGTGGGCGTGTATCGACCATCAGGCGCTGGAGGGGCGCTTTGTCCCGATCGCAGTTCTAAGACCTAGATTGTTGGGGCTAGATTTAGGTAAGGCCTAGGAGAGAAGCAAGGCTGAGAAGCAAGGGAATGTATCAAGGAGAAATGCAGGCAGGCTTCGGTTGGAAAGTGGGGGGAGAGAGATTGTTTCGATAGCCTTTGTCCTTTTCTTTTTCCAGAATCATGAAATCACCCAAGAGGAGAGGAAAACGGGACTAGAAGAGAGCAGAAATATTTCCTCGAGACGGTTTTGCCCCAGAGGTAGAGTGGGGAAGTGGGGCTGGAGCTCAGCTTCCTGCCTGTGTGCTCAGCTGCCACCGTAGTGCACTCACACTCAAGGTCCGCCACCCCGCCCCGCAGTGCCTTGCACCCCTCTGCCCCCACCTCGGAACCTTTGCGCCTGAGCGCTCGGGACCCCCTGCAAAACCAGGCACGTTCCTCCCTCTGCAGACTCACCGCCTGGTTTGCAGACACCGGCCTCCCCCTGGGGCGTCAATACTTGCAGGATTTAAAGCAGAAAGACACCGGGCGCCCCTGTGGCTGAGGAATGGCTGTTCCGGCGCAAGACCCTGCCCACAGAGGGTCTCTCCCCACCGCCTGTGGGCCACCCTAAGTACTCCGGGGCGCACGTGGCCCGCGCGGCATCCCAGCTTGCCCGGAGGACCTAGGGGCTGCCTCTCCACAACATTTCCGCTCCCTTCTGAAGAGCCCCGCCTCTCCCCCCTCCTGACAGGCTGTTCTTTCTCCCTTCAGCCTTGGGCACCCACTCCTGTCGCCGTTGTGGCCCCGCGTGGCAGCGCTTCACCCTCGTACCCACTCCCAGCCGGTGTCTTACGCCGCTCGGAGGCAATGTCCACCCTCCCTGCACCTTTCACCCGCCCCTTCCAGCTGAGACGGCTCTCTTCCAGCTCCCTCATCCTGACTGCCAAAAAATGCTTGGAGCAGCTGGGGCCGGATAAGGAGAGCCAAGGTTGAGCTGGAACCGGTCCCTACGTTTTCAAGGCCAGCGCTGCACACAGGTCTTTCTATGGCCCTCAAAGCGGCACCCGCTGCTCCTCACTGGGCTAGGCTGGTAGCAGCGAGAGAATGCCTATTGCACAGGAAGAAGATGGTCCCTACCAGCGCAGAGTTTCCAGAATCTATGGGGACGGCATAGATTTCCCCAGAAAACAACCAGGGCCTCATGAAGGTGCCAGAAGGCGTATAGGTAGAGAAATTTTAAAAGCCTGTCGGAGAGTCAAGGCCTAGACTCAGGCTCCTGATTTCAATAGGCGGAAAAGAAGGCCGCCAAGGCTGGGTCCCCTCCCTTGTGAGGACAGTTCCTGCTCTCAAAACCGTATGAAGCCACCCAGTGTGTTCCACACTCCAGCCACGCACCACCAATGCAGTCAACAAACACTGCTTGACCTCCCATACGGAAAAGCAGTAGCTCACACGTACTGAGAGCTTAACACGCGTGAGGCCGTTTTGCCTCATTCAACCCTAGCAACAACCCTGAAAAAGGTATTATTGCTTTCGTTCTATCGACAAGGAAACTGAGACTTAGAAATGCCCAAGATACACACACTGACGAGGCCAAGCAAGAGCTGTCGAATACCAAAGTTTAGTCACAACTCTGTCTTCCTTTTACATACTGCTCTGTGCGGTTGCTGCCAGAGATACAAGGGCAAAATCAACCCTGGGACCCTGCCCTCATGGAGCTTACAGTCTAACTGGGGCAACCAGGCAGGCACGTACAGCTAGAATTAAGTGGGAAGTGATAAGTGACACGCGTGTCCTTTGCTAACACGAGCTGCAGGTTCAGAGGCTGAAGAGAGGGGACTTCCGGCTAGCCGATCTAGGAGCTCTTCCTTGGAGAACAGCTTTCCACTCGTGGAGGATACGGGTAAGAAAGATGTTCCAAGCGGACAGAAAGCTTGAGCAAAGTCAACAAGGTGGAAACGGACGTGTCGCCCACCCGTAAATAGAGAAAACGCTCCGTCTCCTCGTGGATCCAGCGCCCGGTATTTACCCGCCAGGAAGTTTTCGTGCCCCGCGCAGCAGCTGAAAAAAACACACTCCTGGGGCACCCTTCCCTGGCATTGGTTCGTGGACAGCAAGCCTCCCAGAACTGGCCTAAATCGGGCAGGTGCAGCCACGCGGGAATCAGTGGTTCAGGAACCGGATCCGTGCAGCCTTGGCCCGCAGCGTCTCGGACTTCAGGACTCTATACTAGTCCTTGCAAATTTCTGGTAGAGCCGCAACAACCCATTTGGTGAGAGCAGGGGGCGTAGCCCCATGAGCCGGAACCAATGGGGAGGGAGTCTGGGGCGCCGGCCCCGCCCCCGGCATGACGCAAGGCTCCGGGACAGAGGCTTCGCAGCCCGGGCCCCAGTCCCTGCAGTGGCTGTAACAAAACCCAGACCCCCAGGTCCCGGCCAATGGAGGCGATTTAGACTGGAGTGGGACCGCGTCTGTCAAAAGCCCGACTCAGCAGCAGCGGCGGAGTCCAAGAGGAGAGCTGGAGCCGCCGCGCTGCCTCCCCGCCCCCGCCGGGATTTATTATTTGGACTGGACAATTAAGTGGCCCTGATGATGTTACCAAGCCCGGTCACCTCCACCCCTTTCTCAGTCAAAGACATTTTGAATCTGGAGCAGCAGCAGCAGCACTTCCATGGTGCGCACTTGCAGGCGGACTTGGAGCACCATTTCCACTCAGCGCCCTGCATGCTGGCCGCAGCTGAGGGGACGCAATTTTCTGACGGAGGGGAGGAGGACGAGGAGGAAGAGGGCGAGAAATTGTCCTATTTGAACTCACTAGCTGCAGCCGACGGCCACAGGGATTCAGGGCTGTGTACCCAGGGCTATGTCCACACGGTCCTGCGAGACTCATGCAGCGGGCCCAAGGAACATGAAGAGGAGCCCGAGGTCGTGAGGGACCGGAGCCAAAGTGAGTAGAGGGGGAAAAGAAAAGCACCCGCACACCTGGAGCAATGGCAGAGTGCCCGCAAACAGCCCACTAACCTTGCCAGCGCTGCTGCCCACCCCTTTACCCTTTGGCTGGGGCCATGCCTCCGCCTTGGTCACCGACAGCTCCACAAAGCGCAGGTACCTGCAAGGGACCCGGGGCGGAGAGACAAGGATGAGGTGACCCTGACAACTACTCTCCACCAAAGGGGGAAATAAGGCAAGGGGAGGTGGTTACTGCTGCTCTGATGCTGACAGGCTACGTGGGCTCAGAGCCTGGGTCCTCATAACTGGTAGTGTTTTTGCTCTTCCCCCCCCCCCGCCCCCACCAAAAGACTCTTCCCCAAAAAAAGGGCAGGAGCCTGGACGTTTTTCACTTTCCCTCTAGGGTGAGATGAGTTCTGCCCACGGCAGCCACCCCTTCATCTCCGAAAAGACAGCCCAAGCAGCCTGTGTGTCTCGCATCCGCAGGGCGCAGGAACTTTGGTGGAGGCCAGCTGGGTGGTTTCCTCCCTTCTCGGCTTGGAGCTCAGCTTCCCTAAACCCATGGTACCGGGTAGAAAGACAGGAGGCGGTCAGAGAGTGCGTGGGAACATTGCCTATTCCAAGGGGCCATAGCTCTCACACCCCTAAGGCGCCAGCTGTTTTTGAAAATCCGTAACGTTGTGCTTTGTGTCTCAGGCTGCGGGCGGAATAGAAAACGCGCCGAACTTAGTCCGAGATCCTGGCTGCTCACATCCGACGGGAAGTGAATTGATAGGGAGATAGGATAATCGAATAAAGTCCCCAAGGAAGTGTATTTGAGAGGACAGAATCACAGTCTTTCCCCAAGAGGCGATTTAATGTGGCAGAGGCCAAGGCCTATGCTCTCACAGTTTCCAGGGCCTAAAATCGGCATGAAACTGTCTATAACTAGTCAATCAAACTTCATTTTCAAAGGGCACACAGACATTGTCATCACACTTGCATGTAGTCTTTCATAAGGCACACACACACACACACACACGTCCCTGGGCCATGCACAAGCATTACACTAGGAACAGATTTTCACGCAGTCTATGTACACCGCCCCACTTACACCAACTCGACTCACACCTTCAGCTATCCTTGTGGAATAGAAGGCAAACGAGTTTGCAAATACTGTAGTTATTATGTAGTCTTCAAGCCTTCATCCTGAAAATAGTCATTAGCACGTCGAGCCGCACATTTAATACAGAGTAATCTCTTCTCTTGCAGATGCTCAAGATCCAAATAAACACGCACTAAGTACCCCTCCCCACGAAACGCGCCTCCGCCGGCTGAGGGCGTTCTTTGGGTACTGGGGCTGTCGCAGGGTCCCACAGCGCCAGGAGCCACAAACGTTCCAAAAAGTCCAGGCATTTACTACTGCACGCTCTGCGCAGCCACCAAAAGGGGCCGCGGTTCTCCGGGACAGGAGCCGCGGTGCGGCCGGGAACAGTTAAGTACGCTGTTGTTTGCTTCTTCTGCAGAAAGCTGCCAGCTGAAGAAGCCTCTAGAGGCGGCCGGAGACTGCAAGGCGGCGGAGGAGAGCGAAAGGCCGAAGCCACGCAGCCGCCGGAAGCCTCGGGTCCTCTTCTCGCAAGCCCAGGTCTTCGAGCTGGAACGCAGGTTCAAGCAGCAGCGGTACCTGTCGGCGCCCGAGCGCGAGCACCTCGCCAGCAGCCTGAAGCTCACGTCCACGCAGGTGAAAATCTGGTTCCAGAATCGCAGGTACAAGTGCAAGAGACAGCGGCAGGACAAGTCTCTGGAGCTGGGCGCACACCCGGCCCCGCCGCCGCCCCGCCGCGTGGCGGTCCCGGTGCTGGTGCGGGACGGCAAGCCGTGCGTCACGCCCAGCGCGCAGGCCTATGGCGCACCCTACAGCGTGGGCGCGAGCGCCTACTCCTACAACAGCTTCCCCGCCTACGGCTACGGGAACTCGGCTGCGGCCGCCGCGGCCGCAGCTGCCGCCGCCGCGGCCGCCGCGGCCTACAGCGGCAGCTATGGCTGTGCGTACCCGGCGGGCGGCGGCAGTGGCAGTGGGACCTCCGCGGCGACCACTGCCATGCAGCCCGCCTGCAGCGCAGCCGGAGGCGGCCCCTTTGTGAATGTGAGCAATCTAGGAGGCTTCGGCGGCGGCGGTGGCGCACAGCCTTTGCACCAGGGTGCTGCAGCCGGGGCCGCGTGCGCTCAGGGCACCTTGCAGGGCATCCGGGCCTGGTAGGGACTGGGCGGGTCACGCGACAGGCACCCCAGCGCAGCCTGGCGCCGCGGGACTGAAGCGCGAGAAGGGCCGGACCTAAGGGTCAGGTCCCCTCGTTAAAAAAAAAAAAAAACATATACTTCTCGCTCCTCAGGGCTTCGGATTGCAGCTCACTCGAGGCCTAGGGAAGGGGGCTCAGGGGCGAGGAGGATGCCCGGGTCTATTCGCCAGGACTGTCTCTGAGGCAGAAACGCGGGCTGGGCGCCGGGGAGGACGATGGCCCCGATCTTGGCAGCGAGGGGAGTGCAGGAGGCTAGAACCCTGGCCGCGTTTGGCTCTTCCAAAGCGAGAAGGGCTTCTCTCCCTCGGCCTTTCTGCGGACTTGGCGAAGCGTTGTCGGGGAGCCCAAGGACAGAACAAATTAAAAGCATGAAGGAGAGAAAAATAGGGGTCGTGGCTTGAGAAATCCCAGGCCCTACCTATCGTCTGCCACCTTTGCGGGCCTGGAGCGCCATAGCACAGTCGATTTCATTTCCCAGCTGCCTCCCCTCCGCAGCAGATACCTCGGTCCAGATCTCCGGATTGTCGGATTGTCGGGGGACTCGGGACTCTTCGAGGAAAACCAGCCAACTGAGATCAAAAGTTGGGGCGGGGAGGCTGAACAAATAACAGGACCTGGTGGCCCACCGGAGGTGTTACCGGGTTTCCTTTCTGTTTCGTATTCTATATTCAGCACATATTATCTATCTATATAACTATAACCACACGCCGTGTACACACCCGCTGCCACACACTACAGGAGTCAATAAACAAGGTGCAATATTTTCATACCGTTGGCCGGCTACAGAATTTGCTTAGCCCCAAAGAGTGGAGAAGAATCCTTTAGATAGGGCGGGAAGGGGAGGAAAAGGTGCGAGGGGGAAAGCCATCTTCCTTGGAAGATCGCAGGCCTGGTCTCCCATGAGCGAGGCCCCAGGCTGCAAGTCTGGTCTCTTCGTGGCTTTGTTCATTAATTTCTGTTTACTCCTGCGGGCTGGACAGTTCGAAGGCTCAGGGCCATTTGAAGTCCCGGACTTTGCGGTCCCCCCAAATTTTACCCAGATGCTTGGACTAGCTGTATAGACCTGCGTTCAATCAAGTCTTGGACTCTGCCCCACCTCGAGGGTCGCGAGGAAAAAGGAAGCCTCGCCCCCAGGCCCAGTTATTGGCGGCGCGAAGGCTGTTCCTTCCCTGACTGCAGCCGGGGCTCCCAGCGCTCCCGGGGACGCTGCGCTGCGCCCCGCCGCGGCCGAGCTCTCCCCCTCGGCCGCCCTCCCTTCTCCCCCGGTTGCCGCGGCTTTATGTGGCTCCTTGTCACTTGCGGAGAATGCCTGTGCGAGGCCTGTGCTGCCACACGGCCGATTGTGAGCGTGCCAAGGCGGGTGAATGGGGAGGCCTCAGAGCGCCGCGCCATTGTGGGGCCGGGCCTCGCTGAAAGGCGGCTCCGGGCCGGGAAGGTGCGGAAAGAATGGCTTTTTATTGGAGTCCCGAACAAAAGGTGTGGTAGGAAGGCGAGGTCCCCTGCGCGAACAAAAACCCCAGCGCGTCGGATTGACGTCCCCCCCGAGCTCCCCATTGCTTCTCAGAGCGGGGGCTTTGTGCAGCAGTCTGCTCATACAGAGGGACGGAGAAATGCGCCGGGGTTTTGTTCCCCACTTTTTGTGCGCTGGGGGAGGGGGCGGACAGGGGAACGGGGGCTGGGCGGGCAGCAGGGAGGGGAGCACTGATTAGGCCTGGTCGGCCGGGGCGCTGAAACGTTCAGCGGGAGTCGGCGGCCTGAATGCTGGGTCATTATTGCTACAAGTTTAGCAATTTCACCCTTACAGGAGGGGGTGAGGCTACTAGGCTGCGGCGGGGCCGCCCGGCTGGGGAGCTGCAGAGACGCAAGGAGGAGAAAGAAAAACGAGGGAAGGAAGGGAGAGAGGGAGGCAGGCAGGCAAGGGAGCCCTCCGAAGCCCTCTGACCGCCCAGGATGCGACTTGGACACTTCCGAAAGGGCCTAGCGGGAGGCTGGAGAAGCGGCGCTGGTGGGCGAAGACCTTCTCTCCCCTCCCCTCGCCTCTCAGGCGGTAGAAAGACCCCGGAGCCCAGCGTGAGCCAGTGCGCCTGACTGCTGTCCCGCAGCCCCTCGAGGCCGGGTCCCTCCTCTTTCACGCCGCCCCCCAAGCTGAGACACAGCCTCCTGCCACGGTGACGCCCCAATCCTCCTCCCTACCGCGCTCTCTATTCTGGAGCCGTTACCTTCCCATGGATTGCTTAGGCAAAGGGCTGGAGAGGGAATTCTTGGTTCCTCACTTGCTTCTCACAGCCTGCAGCTGCAGACTTTCATTCATTCATTCATTCATTCATTCATCCATCCAACCATCCATCCATTCAGTCAGATATACTGATAACCTACTATGTATTCACTTGCACTGTTGACGGGAACTATGAAAAAGAAAGTGTCCCTAGACTGGTGGATTTTATTTTCAGGTGTGCAGGTGTGGGTGAAGGGAGGGGGAGACAACAAACAATGCAAAAACAGTAGATGAAATCTAAAAAGGAAATAGAGCCAAACGCTGGGAGTGGAGGTCCTTTGAAGTAGGCGATGGGGAAAGCCTGTTGAGATTACATTTAAGTCAATACCTGAATGACAAGAAGGAAGTCATTCCAACAGTGCTTTGCTATCTCAGCCTCCCTGCCTCTGCACAGGCCCTCCTGTCCAGCTGGAATTCCCTTCCACCCCCATTTTTCTGGTGAACTCTTGCCTCTCCTTCAAGGCCAAGCTTCTTTCCTGAACCACCCAAGTAGAGGTAATCACTCTCACATTTGTGCCACCAGAGTCTTAGGTACTTTCCAATATCATAACATGGTGTCATGCAAAGATTTATTTGTCTCTCTCCCTCCCCCGGAACTTGTGGAGGGCCAGGTTGGCATCTTTTCCCTTTGGGACAGGTACCACGGTAGGAGGCTGCGGGATGCCCTTGGGGCTCCTTCAACACCTCTTCCCTGGCTCTCCGGAGCCGCATGAATTGCCCTGATGCTGTTGAGCTGTGGCCTGGGCTGCTGGCTTTGAGGGAAATGTGGAACTGGAATATTGGCTTCCCTGGGCCTAGTAGCCGGACATTGGCAACTCATCCCCAACCCAGCAGAAGGTCCCCCCTCTTCTGTACCCCATGATGCTGCCTCAGGACATCCTTCCCCACAATATTGCACCTCACCCTACAGCTCAATACCTAGGATAGGGGCTAAGAACTTGGTGAAGACCTGAACCCCAGGACACAAAGTTTGGGGACTGGGGAAAACTAGGATGTGTGAGAAACCCAGGACCCATATCTGGGACCCAATTCGACTTCCCCTACATTCACTAGGTTTAGAGAATGAAAGGTGAGCAAGACCTGGACCAGCACCCTGTGAGAGCTCACTCCCCAGGTGGGATTTCAGCATCGTAGCTCTCGGAGTAGCTGCCCTTGCTCCATTGGGGGTTTCCTGAGTAAGCAACTACTTTGTCTCCAATCCAGTCCCCTATACTCCTGGGCCTTGGCCTCTCAGTGCTCCCCACACCACACTTCCATTTTCCTTGCTGGGCTTCCTCTTGCCCTATGTTGGTCTTCCTTCACTCTGCATTCCCTCTTGTTCTGGAAAAGTAGCTTGTGTTCCTCATAAAGGAAACAGAACTGGTTCTGTGGATTGGCTTTTGCAAGTTTGCTTGTCTTTAGATACTTAAAGCCACTTCCTACCCTGCTCCGGAGCCTGCAGTCTCCAGGTATAAATAGCTTCCATCGTTTCACTGGAGGATTTCCCTGCTGCTCACTGCTGGGGTTCCAGGGCCGAGGCCATCGGAGATTGAAAGCCCTTGACCAATGCGCTACCCCTTCCTTGGGCTTCCTCTCCATGGGAAAAGTCCCCCCTTACAGGACAAACTGCTCCTTCATTAAATTGTCCTTTGAGCCAGAATGAATCAAAATCCACACAGGCCTTCTAAAGACCCATGAGACTTGGAACAGACCAAGTAAGTTGTTCTTCTGGGCTCTGGTTTTTGAGATCTATGGTGGAGAGAAGGGTGAACCATGTGATTTCAGAGGTCACTTCAGTCTCAACCCTCCTTGGTTCCCTTGGATGAGTGTGTAACCCCTCCCCACCCACTAAGCTCAGGGTGGGTGGGTGGAAGAAGTAGGATAGGTTTTAGGTGGCTAGAACTTTTTTCCCAAGCCTGACCTTGAGGACTCAAGAGATGAACTCTAAAGTCAGACTGTATCCATTCTATCTCAGCACCACCACAACCAGCAGTGGAGACCTCGAGTAAGTTAGAAGTAACCTGAATCCGTTTCTTCCTCTATAAAATGGGTATGCTTGTAGCACCTCTCTCTCTCTCTCTCTCTCTCTCGCTCTCGCTCTCGCTCTCGCTCTCGCTCTGTGTGTGTGTGTGTGTGTGTGTGTGTGTGTTTTGGTTTGTTTTTTGCCTACAGTAAAATATGCAAGTAGTTAAGTATACAACTCAGTGAATGTTTATATCGTGAACATTCATGTATCAATCATTTTGGCTTTGAAAGTTAAATGAGATGATCAGGCACTGCCTCGACGTTCTAGGAAGTTGACTAGGACTTCATTCTGCCCTTGAGGCATTCCCAGGTCCCCGGCGTGAGGAGGTGGAGACAGGGCTGGGGGAGTGGGAAGCAGGTCGGCACTAGGAGGACCAAAAACCCCAGCTCCGCGGGGCGCGTCTCCACCGAGATCCGGCAGAGCCTTTGCGGACAAACCCCGGACAGGTGGCGCCTGGGGGGTCTGCAAGGCTTCGACTTCTGCGCAACTGGGACATTTGACAGAAAGGGAAGGTGAAAGGACCTATCCAGGAGGAGGAACGCGCCCTCTCTAGCCCATCACTGCAGGGAGGAAAGGGTAAGGAGGGGAAACCCGACACTTCTCCACAGGGCTTCTCCCCGGTCCGCAGGCGCCGCTGGAGTGACTCCGGGCCGCGCCTCTGCCAGGGTGGGGCCGGGTGGGCGGGCGCTTCCCTGGAGACGCGCGCGTGCGGGAGACCGGGAGGTCCGAGGCTCCAGTCGCAGCAGTCGAGTCCCTCGCTTTCTGGTTCAGTACGCCAGTGGGGACTTCCCGGGCGCCTTCTCCCAACTCCAGGGGCCCGAGCCCTGGAAGGACTGATTTGTCCGCGACTGAAGAGTTCAGTGCTCAGCCGCAGTCTGGCCCCGCGCGAGAGGTAAGGATCCTTCGAAGCGCCGGGGGGTAGCGCAGGTGCCGCGAGGCGGGGCGGGGCGCCAGGGGCCGGCAGCTGCTTCCCGGGCGGGCCCGGCGCGGTCAGATCCAGCTGGGCCAGAGTGCCCCGGCGAGCCCCGGGAGAGCCTAGCCGACTCTGCGGGTGAGAGCCCAAACTGCGAGAGCCAGCAGTCCTGAGGTTCGCAACCTGCTCGCGGAGGTAGGACGGCCTGGGTGGGGCTTAAGGGGCGAGGGGAGGCCTCTGCATGGAGTCCTGGGTAGGCGTCTGGCGGGGGGGGGGGGGGGCACTGATCTCTAAACCGCGTCGGCTTTGCTTTAAAATATGCCCCCACCCCACCTAGATTGTAAGCGACAGATTAATAACAGCTAAGGTTTTCTAATAATCGTCCCTTTAGAAAAGGGCGATTAGTAAACTTCTTACTGGAGTAAGAGATACATTCTGAAAACCCCAAGCGTAAGGCTCGCTCTGTCTTAAAAACGGAACTCTTCCGTGCTACCAACACCCAGATGAAGAAACAGCAGAACATTATCAGTCCCCGGAAAGTTCCCCCCAAGCTCACTTCTTGTCATTACTACCTGGAGCCACCAAGGGTAGCC